AACTTTTGCATACAGCTCTTCTTGCCAAAATACATCAGAGTTTCCTTGGTGTCTGTTTTTGCTGTAAGTTATAAGCTTTTACTGCGGGTGGATTTATATCTTACAAATCACGCTGTCAGCTCAGAGTTGATGTTCAAGAGCTGGACAGAGCCTGGAGTCATTCCGTGGTGATAGACAATTGGAGTTTAGTAGCCCCTAAGCTTCATTTCAGTGTTTAAAATGAGGATCCTGCATCTGAGGTACTCAACATTTAGGATGATTAATTGAACAATCTTGTTTCAGTTCTTCTCGCGGTCTAATGGTGGATGTGGCAGGAGCTTCTCTAGAAGTTTAGTTTCCTTGTACATGTTCCCACTTGGCCCCTGGATTGCGTATGTCTAAATTGCTTGTTGTTGGGATGTCTTCAGTTGCTCACTACATTTTCCTTTCCTTTTGGTGTCCAGATTAATGCTTGCCTGGGGATCCTGTGTGCTTCCATTGTTGTTAAGTGCCTGGATGGTAATATATTAGTCTTCATTTAAAACCTTACCTCGGAAATGTACAACAGCACTGAAAAAAAAAAAAAGCCCATGGGCTTTTGTTCTTTTTAATGAAGTTGAGTGAAATGCAATGAAAATAATTTCTTGCACTTTGCATAAAAGAGCTCAATTAATTTACCAGCTTTGCCTTTAGCTTCTCTACTCCTTACAGCTTTCGGCTGGCAGCTTCCTTGGTGTCAGGTTCTGTCCACTCTGCTCCCTCCCAGGGCTCAGTTTTGTAGAATGTTTGGCTGCAAAAGCATGTCGATACTGGCAGAGCAGCTCATGGGTTGCTGCTAGGATGGCCCTTCGAGTGCCAAGAGAATTTGAACCATTTCCTAAGAGACCGGCAGAACCAGGAGGACCTACACGGTCCCCTGGGCTTGGTCCAGGTAGCCTGAGCCCAGGCCTGGGTTTGATGTCTGAGAAGACTTGGCATTGGAGTTGGCTTTATCCCAAGTGCCTCCAGTGAGCATCATTAGGTGGGGAGGGTTGATTGGGGATACAGGGTTGGGCAGGAGGGGCGGCGCTGGGGTCATCTTAGTGTGGGCAGAATAGGTGGTTTTAAGCAGAGCAGCAGCATGCTTTCCCTGTAAGTAACTCTGACGGTATCTCTGTGTTGGGAGCTGCTGGCAGGATGCTGGCTGGTTCACACCCAGTGCCCACGAGCCCTTTGTGCAGATGGGTGTTTGCACGGGGGTGTCTTTTCCCGCCCTGGTCCAGAGAGCTCTGGGAGCCTCCCAGGCAGTGTGTTACAGGGCAAGATAAAATATTTGATTTTGGGAGCCCCAAGCGCAGTGGTTCTTGGCAGATATTGCAAGTTTATCTGTCCCTTTTCCCATCCCTGGCCAGAGTGGGAATTTGGCTGTGGCCAGAGCACGGCCGGCACGCGGGGCTGGGAACAGCTGCCTGGGTAAGCGAGACGGCGAGGATGAGCAGGGAGCTATCAGATGTGGTGCTGCTTTGGGACCAGGATTAAGCGCGGAGAGGTGGGTGAGCCAGAATCTCTTCTGAATTCCCAGCAGCAACGTCCGTCCATCTGTCCATCCTACCTTCCGCCTGCAGGGCTTCTCATCTCAAAGTGCTGAGATTAGGGCATTAAAGGGGTTGCTGGGTGGGTTTCCATTTGATGAAAGGCAGGCAGCTGCTGCTGGAGGTTTTGGACTCCCGTGTGAAGCTCTAAAAGCAACTTCTTTTTTTTTTTTTTTTTAAAAAAAAAGACTTTTTAAAAACCACCCCAGGTAGCTCTGGAGGGCTGCAGAGCACAGTGTACCTGGTGTTGTCAGCTCCGTGAGAGTGGAGAAGCAGTTGCAAATGAGCTCTCCGGTCTGGCTTTTCTCCCTTTCATTTGAATTCTCACTGTAACTGATTAAAGCTGATTAATAGTCATAAGAAGATGTAAATAACCCTTTGAAGCTCGCTTTATTGCAGTGAAGAGTTTTTGGTTGTCTCCCATGGTACCTTGGGGGTCATCATCTTCTGGGTGAAAAGAAACCTGGGTGTTTTGTCCTGATGCTGTGGTGCCATGCTCCCCACCCCTCCATGCTCATGTAAATATGTGCTGTGGCATCTCAATGTTCTTGACATCCTTGCCTTCATTTCCATATTTTTATTTCTGGAGCACTGGAACATCAGGGAACAAAGAGGCTAGCAGAAAAGTAAGCAAAAGGATTCCTCTTTGGTGTTCCCTGTTCGTGCTGCTGGTGTAAAAGCAGCTCTCAGATGCTCGGCACAGTGTGACATTCCCTGAAGCAGCTCTCCTTGCCGGAGCTGACCGTGCCTGGCTGTGCACCGGGAGACCCTTTCTGTTACAGTTGGGGTGATTCTGCATCATGGTGAAGTGCAGGATAAAGCCCAAAGCATGTGGTGAGCACATGGTTGACTGTGCACGGCTTAAAAGCATCAGTAGCTTTGCAAGAGCAGCTCAGCTGTGCTGCAGGAGTGCTGTATTAGACCAGGGACTGGATTTTGGGTGCAGCCTCCCGGTCTGTCAGCCTGGTCCCTGAGATGAGCTGTCAGTCACCGGTGTGACAGGTTAGCAGCAGCGAGTCTCTGCTTGCAGGCGATTCTTCTGCCTCTGCTCATGGCCTGGATGTGTGCTGGGGTGGCCCTGCTGTGCATGACATCCCCTAGGGTGGGAGGTGGGGGCTCTTCTCTTTTGGCCGTCGGCAGAATGAGCAAATCTTCTCCTGGAAAACTGCTGTCAGGGGAAGAGAAGGCAAAACACAGGCAGTAGATTAGAAACTGGCTGCAGGGGATGCTGAATGTGCTGGGGCCCCACAGTCTCTTGCCCAGTCACGGCAGTGCTCCTGCCCAAGCTCCGCTCCCATGAGATGGCAGCGGGGAAAGAGTTTGGTGTTCCATTTGGTCAGGGTTGTGCCCTGCCTGTAGGAAAGCACAGAGCAAGATCTTAATTAAGGCAACAGTAAAGAAGCGGGAACATCCTGGAAGGCAAATGGAGAAGGCTTCTGAGTGTTGCGGTCTCTGTTTAGTTCCCACGTGTCTGAAAGCTTTTCATAAATGTGTGGTTCAGAGATGGGGTTAAGATCCAGGATTTCTGTGGCGGCTTAGCGCTGCCTGAATCGAGGAGTTTCCAAACCCTTTTGTGCTGAAGGCTACGTGGAAAGGTGTCTTGTGGGACATTCCTCCTCCCCAGCCTGCAGATGTCAAAAAACTGCCAGGATAGCACTCAGCGCACCGTGCGGGTGAGAAGGAGCTGGAGGAACCTCCGTTGTGCGAATGCCGAATGCCGTTTATGTGGATGCGAGGCCTCAGTACGCAGCTCATCAGCTGTGCTGCAAATGAAAAGTGCCATATAAATTGCTGACTTGCAAATTAACCCCACCATACTCCTGCGCAGCGGCTGAGCCGGAGGCAGCGTTGGCTCGCGGGGCTGCCCTGGGGCTGCCGCTCGTGGTGCAGAGCTGAAACTTGCAGGGGCCGACTGGGTGGTCGACCTGGAAAGCAAAACTTCCACGTTTTTTATAAAATGGGGATTGCTGCTGTGTGCTGTGAAAGATCCCCAGGGCAGGAGAAGGCTGTACGGTGCTGCAGCCTCTTATGAAGGCTGCTCGCTGTCCTCAAAGCATTCATGGTGGTTGCTTTGTATCTTTTTTAATTCCCTGCAAAAATTAAAGATTTAAGGCAATACGTGATGCCGTCGGGTTTCCGGGTGCAGCGTGCAGAGTTGGGGCACACGTGGGCAGTGCCTTGCCCAGGTCCCCAGCTGTGTGCCAGCAATGCCAAGGTGCTCGCCCTAAGAAGACCAGCGTGCCCTCGATGTTGGATGTTTGCTGCGCTAGAACGAGGGTCCGACTGATTACTGGGTAATTAAAAGCCTTCAGGACCAGTCCGTGGCTGGTGTTAGAAAGTCTGCGTGAGCATGGAGTGTTTGCATGGCGCATGGGAGGACACGGAGGGTTTAATAACACATGGGCAATTATTTAGAAGGTGATTATGCTCAGCAGCTGAGCAGAGGGTCAGGATCCTGGCATGCCTGATGCTGCATCCATGCCTAAAGAGATTGTCCTGGGAGTTTGCTGTGGTTCATCTCACCATATCCCTCCCCAGGGGTCCTGGTCGGTGTGGTCCTGCGCTACGGCATCCACGTCCCCAGCGACGTCAACAACGTGACACTGAGCTGCCAAGTGCAGACCAGTCCTGCCACGCTGCTGGTGAACGTCAGTGGAAAGTACTACGAGTACACCCTGAAGGGGGAGATCAGCGCCCAGGAGCTCAATAATGTCCAGGATAATGAGATGCTGAGAAAGGTAAGAGAGTCAGTATCTGGAGAGGTGAACGATGCTCCCCACTCCCTCCATGGGGACGGGTTCTGTATCTGTTGGATACAGGACCAGTGATTTATTTATTTTTTTAAACTTTTGTTAGATTGTGATAAGCTATAAATTATAAGTTGAACACAATGTAATGAAACTCTAGTTTTAGCAGATCTTAATTTAAGCTGTTTAGACTGTGGACTTGTGTCCAGAAGATCCCAGACACATCCTCAGCATTGGCCCCACAGCATTGCATCTGGTGGGGGTACAGTGTTTCCTCCATGTATTTTATATGACGTTGTTATTTGTGTTTTCTCTTGCAAAGTCGTAACAAACAATTTTACTGTTTTTTTGTTGTTTTTTTTTCTTAACAGGTGACTTTTGATCCTGAAGTATTTTTCAACATCTTGCTTCCTCCAATTATATTTTATGCAGGCTACAGCTTGAAAAGGGTACGTGCCTTTACAGTGCCTACAGTTCCTCTGCCTCCAGAGCATTTTTAATACTTGAGAGTGCTTTAATGCTTGCTCAGCAGGCCAAGGCTGTGGAGCTGAGTATGGCTTTCCCCAGTACATCTGGGATTGTAGGAAGCAGGGCTGAGAGTGCCCTGGTCAGTCTCATCCATCCCTCTGCCCCAGGAAGGGTCAGTGACTTCAGCCATTTCCAGCACAGGTTTGTGCAGGCTTTTTTGCGTTCAGCTGAGCCATTTCAGCCATCCTTGCTTCCGAAATGCCATAGGAGGGTAGGAAGGTTTTAGAAAGCAGCAGCTCTCTGAAATGCTGACTTTGAAAGAGAGGAAAACGATCCTGTTTAGCTTGTGGGAGAAGGAAGAAGGAATGCTGCTGGGTTAGGAAATCAGTTCTCGGGACTTGGAACAGCACCTTATTAAATACACGGGTACAAGAAAATGATATGTTCATGTTTATTACTGCTGCATTAACAACTGCTGGTCTGGCAGTGTACGTGGTTGTGCTGGGCACCGTTCAGCTGTGCTTGTCCAGCTCGTGGTGTCTGAGTTAAGTCCAAGTTGCTACAGACACAGTGTGGGTGCCTGTGCAGGCTTGAAATAAATTGTTAGCAAAATATAACATTTTATTTTCCTCCTCCTTCTAGAGACACTTCTTCAGAAACTTGGGATCCATCCTAGCATACGCTTTTCTTGGCACTGCAATTTCCTGCCTGGTGATCGGGTGAGTAGCTGGAGCCAGTCTGGCTCTTCCACAGGGGTCTGAGCCATGCTCAGGGGCAGTGCTCTGAGCCCGGCCCTGCGGCCACGAATCCCAGCCCCGAAACATCACACAGGCTCTCCGCTACCACTGCTCAGCAGTGGCAAATAATACTATTTACTGTCCAGACTCTGACTATGTGGACAGGGTGATTGCTGTCTTGATTGCATAGTGCTTTCTCAGCATCCCATACTGAGTATTTACATACATGGCAAGGAAAGTTTCACACTTCTCTGAAGATTGTCTTGAAAAAACAGTCAGTGACTTCAAGTTGTTGAAAGCACAGCCCTAACAAGCATGAGACACAAGAGCAGAGGGCAGGATCGTAAAAGCATGTCCTGTCCTTACTTGCTAGAAGCAGGTGCCTAGCCAGTACAGATTGTGTTTCAAATTATTTATCCCTCTGTGCAGAGGGAACTAGACGATTCCTGCTCTGAATAGTAGCACGCAGGCTGGCGTAGGGTGTTTTCCACTGGAGAGTCCCATGGATTCACGCAAACTCAGCATCTGCATTATCTGTTCCTTGCTGAAAGTTTCAGCCGTTTCAAAGTCAGACCAAGGTCATCCCACTGAAATATGTTAATGTGAAATACTGCAAAGCGATCACAAGACCCCACAAGCCTGGCTGCTGCTTTTCTTTAGCCATGTTATGCTCATGGGGGGGGTTTTGGTCCTGGTTCCTCACCAGCACCATGCGTGTAGTGTGGTGTGGTGGGTGCTTTGGTGTGTGTGTGGTCCAGGCTCAGCTCATGCAGTACAGTTCTTTGGTGTTCCTGCATTTGGATGACTTTAGGGGTTAATCTGGCAAATTCAGGGGAATCGAGCCCATTTGAATGTCATTTTCATTCACTGCAGAGATGAGTAATTGCCTCTTCTAATCACCAGCTCTGTTGTGTATGGCTGTGTGGCGCTGATGAAAGTCACTGGGCAGCTCGGGGGAGACTTCTACTTCACTGACTGCCTCCTGTTTGGTGCCATCGTATCAGCTACTGACCCAGGTATGTTAGATGGTTATTTCCCCCCTCATTTTACCTCTTTGATCTGTTTTGAGTTGTCGTGAAGAGGGGAATAAAGTCTGAACCCTGTGGAAATTCCCTTTCTGAATTTTGGAGTTTATTTGCAACATTTCTAGAGGTCAGATTTGCCTCCATGCCTTTTTATTTCCTTTTAGTTACATGTAATATACCTTCCAGACTTCTGCTTCCTATATCTTTGTTTGCAGTGAAGTCCTAGCAGTCTCTTTCTTGACTTTGCTGGCTTTTGGGGAAGATCCACAGTGTTTCTGCCCTCCTGTGCTAACAGCTGATGCAGAACAAGATGTGTAATGTGGGAAGGGTTCAGCTGATAGTTTAGCTGATTTCCTTCCACCTCCATCTGATTGGGAATTTGGAAGGTGCTAATCTAATTGAAAGTTGACCTTAACAAGCGGTACTGAGGACAGTAGTGATAGCTTGGTCTGCTGAACCATTTTCTAAATCAAAACTATGAAAAACATGCCTTGTCCAACTGAATTTCACTTCATTCACGATTACTTTCACACGGTAGCATTCATTTTCAATGTTCATTTGCATGCTCCAGCTTCACCTAAAAACACAGGACCACAGAAGGGCCTCTCCTGCCTCCTGCCCTTTGCTGAACAGGGCTTGAATTTCTTCCTTTGCAGCCTGGCTGCTACATTTGAGACCAGTGTGGTGGGACTGGGGGTTGACAGAATTGCCTCCCATTCCTGACATTACAGTAGCTTTGGGGGATATTTTTAAATGCAGATATTGGTCAGTTTTGCATGGAAGGGAGAGACTGCATGCCTGGATAAGCCAAGTCTCCTGCCCTTTTGAAACAAATGCCAGTGGCTGTTGTTTCCAGATGAATTGGGACTTTTACCTGTTCATCTTAAAAATGAATCATTTCTGTTTTCAAAGGCAAAGTGAGGAGCATTGTACATATGTGCATATATGCAAGAATAACCCTGCAGAACATGACTTGCAGCATAAAGTGGCGGTAGCCACATCTGTCTGCCAGGTGGAGATGTGAGATGTGCATTCCCCATCAGTTTTTAATAATTAATTTTTTATGTTTCCCTAAGATTTGCCAGATATTGGTGTGGCTATTACTGCTGATATTTTTATAAAAAAAAAAAAACCAACCCAAACTTAAAAAATAAGGTCAAATGATTTCCCAGCTTCTCCAAACGTGTCTTGGGTGTGTGTGCGTTCAGGCCAGCAGTTCATTTAGTGGGGAGTTGTTCCCATGTGGCTGTGAGGTCGGGCATCTTCCCCGTAACTTCTCTGGGGTATCGATGTCAAGATGGGGGCACTTTTGCAAAGCAGGGAAGCACCTCACGGACGTGATGGCAGTGTAGTAGATCTGATGGCAGATGGGCAGAGGCCAGGCAAGGACCATAAGAAGTAATGCTCAGAAATTCTGCGGGCGAGCTGTCGGTGTTGTGTCTTTTCTTCTTTAAAGTAGGAACAAGAAGATTTCACAGGTAAAAATGGAGCATTTTCCTGTGCATAAATGGGTTAAACCCCCTTCAGTTGAGTCCCTGAATGCTGTTTTAAATGACTCTCACAGAAATTGATTGGAATTAGCTCAGCCCTGTGCAGCAGACGCAGCTGTGCATGATGCACCATGTGTTACATCTCGCTTGCTTTAAATGTTGTGATGTTTTTGCAAGGCTGATATACAAAACCTGCTCCATTTTCATTATCTTCTTGGAGCCACTGGATCGTGGAAAGAGTTGAGGGTACTCTGATCCCTGCCATGTGGCCATAAATCACAAGAAACCCCCACTCAGGGTTTGAGCTGATGCTGGGCTCTTTCCAGTTAGGTCTGAAATGTTAACACATCTGTGCTGGCACTTGCACTGTGCTGAATCTGAGGATTCTCTCAGAGTATTAGGGAAGGAAGGAAAAGACAGCTATTGTCCTGGACAAGTTTGCATCCTCCTGGCTTCTGAGCTAGTGGCAACCCGAAATCTGGGTCAGCATGGTACTGTGGTCCAGCCCATGAGCTCAGACCCTCAGGAAGCTCAGAGCAGAGTTTGCTCATGTCTGACTGCTAAAGACTCCATAGACCTAATGCCCAGGATGTGTTTTAGGAAAAGAAGGAGGAGGGAAATGCTAAAGCAAATCCAGATCTGAAAGGGCAGAACGAAGGGAGCATGGGGGGGTGGCTGGCACTATTGCAGCAGTGGCACAGATGTGCAGGAAGGCAGCTTTCTAAAAAGGGGCGTTTTGTCTTTGATTACACTGAAATAATGGCACCTTTTAAAATGTCTCTCTATTTTTCTATTTGTCAGTGACTGTTCTTGCCATATTCCATGAACTCCAGGTTGATGTTGAGCTGTATGCCCTTCTCTTTGGCGAAAGCGTCCTCAATGATGCCGTTGCCATAGTGCTGTCTTCGTAAGTGTGATCTGTTTTTATTTTTAATTGTTATGTATGTTACATGTCAGGCGTTGAGGGGAGCCACTTGGTCTTGCTCCTGTAAAATAGAATTATTGATGTTTGCAAGAGCAGATTTCCATATTAAAGGTCCCCAAAAGCTGTAGTGACCTTCCGATACATCTCCTCATCGCAGACCACAGCTTAGGGTTGCGGGTTGTCCCTACAACTTCCCCCTGCATGATGGATGGTTTTGTTTTGCTTTCATGGCCAGTTGACCCAACCAGAAGGAGGTTTTTATGTCCCTCCGAAATGGGAAAAGCATCGTGTCTGCTTTTCAGCCACAGAATCCCTCTGAAACCCCTTGCTGACGGGTTTGCTTCTACCTGTCTTCCTTCCCATCCACAAATACCTGCTTTTGTTTAGGTGGAAATAGCTGGTAAAACAGCCGTTTCCTTTCTCTCCCCGCTTTCCATGCATCAAGAAGATGGTATTTCTTACAGCCAGAGTTAATACCCTGGACTGAACACATGGGAGACTTGCTGGCTTTCTAAATAATGTTTTATATTCTTTAATATTTTATGTCTTCTGCACATAAGACATATTTTATCTGCGTTTTCACTGTGTTGTCATCACTGAAATTTGTTTGGAAATATATAATATCTGCAATGGTGACAGGTTAACGTATAGCTAAGACTAACACAGAAAATATTTCTGGAATACTTGTCACTCCAGTGTGCTGGTTGTGTGGGCTTTACTGAGGTGGAGGCAGCAAGTAACATATTGTGAGCTGTGTATCGCCACCCGCATGAGTTGTATTTACTGAATTGAATGTTTCTGTTGAGGTTTCTGGAACTGTATTGGTCAGTCTGGTTTTTATGCTGGATGTGTCACCGCTGGCGCGAGAGTAAACGCTGTACAGCCAGGTCATGTTTAAGAAGTGATCCTGAGTCAGGAAGAGACTGGGTCTTCCAGCCTGTGCTGGGAGGTTCTGGGTGGTAGGGGGTGGGTTCAGCATCAGAGTGAGGAAATTTGTGGTGGATCTCTGCACAGGTCGGTGACTGCACCATGCGTGGCAGGTTGCCTCTTGTGCTGCTTTAGTACCAGCTTTGTAGCTTTTGCTCTCATTTCCTGCCTTCCTCTTTCCACAAGCTGAGTTCAATCCACCCCCCTCCCTGAAATGAGATGATTCGCACCGAAACAGCAGCTCTGAGCTGCAGTCAGCAGCTATTTTCCCGCAAGGCTTTTGTGCAGAGCGGCCGAGCAGTTAACCTGTACCCATTTTAAAGCTTGCCCGTGGTCGTTGTTTTCGCCGTCCCCATGAGCAGCGTAAGGCAGCCCCAGTCAGCACGGCGGGTGTTGGTCAGTGATGGTAGCTCAGGGACAGCCTCGATTTACCGGGACACAACCACATCTTGGGTGCAAGGAGGAGGTGAAGGCCTCTTGCTCCAGGGAGGAGAGTTCCTCCAAGAGCAGTCCAGAGCTCCTGTTTGTGGTTCCCCTTTTTTAAATTCAGTTTGGCATTTCCCTGTTTCACAGAAGAGGTGTAGTGGGGGAACCGCATGGGGATGGTTCTGCTCCCACAAGCAGAAGACCTGCTCCCCAGTTAGGGGGTGCAAGGGTGAGTTGGGCAGATGGAGCACTGGGGGTTTCTGGGTGGGCGGGCTGTGTTGGTGGAGGAGCTCGGCGTGGCAGCTGGTGGTGGGTGCTGCTGTGTCCCAGGGGTGAAGGGGGGCCCCAGCCGCAGCCGTGTGGGTTCAGTGATTGCCCCGAGAAGCACCATCAGCTCCTTGCACGTGGTGAAAGCGAGCGCTGCGGGCACCTTCCCTGTGCTGGGAGAGGGTGAGGATCTGGGGGCTGGTGCTTTCCCGGGCTGGGACTCCTCCACGGTTTGTACCAGGAGCTCTGTGCCCCCGAGGCTCCTCTCTTCCCTGCTTTCAGTCCCGGATGAGTCTGTTCCTGGGCCTGGGGAGCAGGATCTGTACCCGTCTGTTCCTGCCTCACGCATGGCCTGGCCTGGCCTGTCTTGACAGCAGGGAACTGGTTGGAGGATGAGGAGGAATTAAACCCAGAACCAAAAGCCGGTGGGCAGCACGGTGCTGGGGCTGCTGTTCAGGAGCAGGGGGTAAATGCAGTGACAGGGTCTCTGCCTGCTTATTCCGAAGGAAGGTTTCACAGGGATGAATGAATGCCATGGTGAGCCCCATGCACAGGGACAGGGGAGATAAAGCACACAAAGGGCAGCTGGCAATAATGTCTTCCTAATGATGCAAAAAGCAAAACCAGAAGGAAAACTGTAATGGGTTAAAATGCAAAACTGACATCCAATCAGTTGGTTATGAAGGGGAAATGAAACCAGTCTGGATTTTAAAAAAAAAAACAACCACAAACCCAAAACGCCAGAATAAGAACATGTTGGAGAATGGGAAGTATAAGATGAGACTGACAAATAAATGAAATCACAGGGAGAAATCTGTGGCTTGCAGTGTAAAAAAAACAATGCAGAAGAATGAAATGTATTAAGAAGTTTAGCAAGGGAAGTGATCATGACATGTTGGAAAAGGGAGGATTGTCATTCATGTTGCAGAAAAATGTTGGCGTGTAGTTAGGGGAGAAAGCTGCAGGATGTGTGCGCGAGGCAGTAATTTTCTGTTTCAGCATAACTCAGGAGGTTAAACAGCAAACGTTTAAAGTTCACATCCAGGAGTTTTAACAGTCAGCCAAGGGGTTGCTAACTGGGAAGTTAATGTTTTCAGTAAGTTTACTCAAAGGAAGCGATGTAAAGAGTTGATAAATGGGATTTAGGAGATGGGTAAGGGCCCCTGTTGTAGCTCAGCCTTTCCAAGTAAAACAGTGGAACGGCTGATCAGGAGTTAGGAGGTAACAGATTCAGAGGGGGATCGGTGCAGCAGACCTATTTGCCATCTTGTCACAAAGGTCTGCTGAAGTCGGGTGGATAAGATGATAGAATTGCTGTTGTGAGCTGGCACTGTGCCGTTTGAATTGCTACCCTGCGATATTTCACTTCAGAACTTGGAGCAGTGCAAAACAAATGTAGTGCATGTTAAGTGCAGTAAGATGGCATAACTTAGAGTTCTCCAGGGGATATTCACATCAGCCGCCTCTGTGGAGTCGACGGAGAAATGTAGACTTCCCACTTGAATGCTTTGTGTGGTCCCAGAGGGCCTGACTTTACAGAGAGCTGATACCAACCCCCCCCAGTACCATCATAAATGATGGACCGTTGCCTAGCAAATGTATTTGCAGGAGATCATGCAAGAGACGGGCTTTGGTTCGCTGCTCTCTAGCATCTAGAAGGACCAAATGCAGAGCCGTGCCTCGGAGGGGTGGCTGACCTGTAGAAAGCTGGCTGGGAGTGAAGGGGATCCCAAGCTCCCCGGGACTGGGTGGGCGTGCTGTGGTTGCACGCTGTGAACACAGAGGGCTGGCAGTGTGGGACTCGGGTTTTGTCCCCCTGAGTTCCCAGGCTCCGTGTTTGCAGCGGTCGTAGCACTTTGCAAAGCTCACGTAGCACCGTGGATGTGCCTCTCCCTCCAGACTAAGGAGTGCTTTGTTCTTGTGTGTGCTTTCCCTCCCTCTTTCAGTTCAATTGTTGCCTACCAGCCGGCGGGTGACAACAGCCACACGTTTGATGTCACAGCGATGTTCAAGTCCATTGGGATCTTCCTGGGGATATTCAGTGGATCTTTTGCGATGGGAGCAGCTACTGGAGTAGTGACAGCTTTAATATCCTTTTTGTTGTTGTTTTTTTCCAAGTGTTTGCATAACAGCTTCTTAGTTTTGCTGTGCTGCATCTCACCCAGATGCAGTGTTTCATGACTTTTTGCCTAAATTAGTGCAAGACGGTGCCATAGCCTTTTTAGAGGCAGGCTGTGTAGTGTTGCTGTGACACAGAACTGGACTTGATATGTTCTTAGCCTACAGTTTCTCTCCAAATTGTCCTTAACCATCTGCAACGTCACCAAGTTCACCAAACTTCGGGAGTTCCCGTTGCTGGAGACCGGCTTGTTCTTCTTGATGTCCTGGAGCACGTTCCTGCTGGCTGAAGCGTGTGGCTTTACAGGCAAGCTCCAGCACAGCCCTGTGTCTGGGACGGAGAGCTGCAGGGGTGATGGGGCTTTTGCTTCATTTGTTTTGATTGAGTTTTGCTTCTCCCAGTATCGATTACAGCCAGGGGTCTCCCTCTGCCTTCAGAAGTTTAATTATTCTGGGTTCTGGGGTTAATGCATTAAGTCCCTTACACTATTGCGGTGCAGCTCAGCTCCCTTTTCATGACCAGGAGTCTAATGTGATGCTCTGCTCCCCAGGTGTGGTGGCCGTGCTCTTCTGTGGGATCACGCAGGCTCATTATACCTATAACAACTTATCTACAGAGTCCCAACACAGAACTAAGCAGGTGAGAGCTCCTAAGCACCCTTCAGCCTCCCTGAATTTCAAGTTCAATATTTTTTCCTTCTGTCTAGCCAGAATGAGGTGCACCTCTCTTTCTACAGATGGATTTTACTAGGGTTGCTTCTGCAGAAGTATTTATTGCATGATGGATGGGCTGACATGTTTTTCTTGCTAAATCTATGTCATGTCTAACTCGCTTTTAATTTGTTTTTCTCTTTCAGTTGTTTGAGCTTCTGAATTTCTTGGCAGAAAACTTCATCTTCTCCTACATGGGACTTGCACTGTTCACCTTCCAGAACCACGTCTTTAACCCTACCTTCGTGGTGGGGGCTTTTGTATCCTTTGGAGCTCTTTTTGTAAGACAGAAAAAGAAAGGGAGAGGTGCCTCATTTGCAATTTGTGTTCTTCATTCAAATGTGTGGGGTTTTTTTTCAGTCAGTCTAGCTTTATTTTTAAAAGGGGATATCTCCCATGTGGTAGTGCCTTTGCTGTCTATTTTAAGAAGATGGAGATTCTTTTCCCAGCTTTTCTGGGTTTTTTCTTCCCCCTGTTTAGTCTTCTTTTGTGGGCATTTGAATCAGCTGCTGCAGGGACTTGGTGTTCCATGGTGTCGAAGCTCCAGGCTTCGTCATGTGGCAGCGTGGCACCAGGAGGGGCTTTGCAAATGGGCACCGCCTGGTATAGCCGTTTATTTCCTCTTTTCTCTGCTATTCCACTTGGTTAACCCCGAAAAAAGCTTTTTTTGGTCAAATAGCACAGTTAAAGCTACAGTGGATGCCTCTGAATGATGTCATGAGAAAGGATTTCCCCTTCTGCAGGCTGATGCTAACAGAAACAAGCTTTCGGCCCTGGTATGTCTCAGAAAAACAGGGATTTTGAAGGAATTTTTTTCATATAACAGGGAAGCCAGTTCAGATGTGCAGAATTATTTTCACCCTTTGCCTGCACTGAAGCAACTTTACAATGAGAAATAAAACGTTATCTTTGCAGGGTGCTGGCGCATGGGTTTGCAGCAGGGCCTGCTGAATTTCCCCAATGAGCTTCTGCAGGGCTGCAGTGGCGTAAAGGGAGTGAAAAGCAGGGAAACGCCATTTGGGTGGTTAGACTGAAATTTTGTGCTGCGCCTCTTCAGTAGGAACTGGCTAACTCACTGATGAAATAGCTCATTCATGAGAGAGATCGTGAAATACGTCTCTTATGCAAATTCACGATGTTCAGGAAAGAACATAAAAGCTGGAAGCATTTTCCGTATTATTCAAGGCTGCACTGAATACTGGCTCCAAGATTATTTTTGCCATCTGGGTGCTGGTATTAAAAGACACAGCTTCAAAGATAAAAGCAATATGAAGGGGCTGGTGATTCTTGTATCTCACAGGCTATGAAAACAGAAAGAGTATTAGATTTTTTTTTCCCCCCTTCTCAACTGCTGCTGCTTTCATTTTGCTGAATAATCTTTGGGAGCGGGACTTGGCTTAAAGCTTCAAACCCAGCTGTGAAGTGTGGCATGCCGGGGAATGTCAGAGGGGTTGTGGTAGCTGTGACAACTTGAGCTTCGCAGAGGACAAATATTTCTTGGGGTGGAAAACAGACCTGGCAGGGGAGAGCAGACACTGGGAAATGGTGGGTTTTCTTCTCTCACTTGTCTAACCTGCCCTCTCATAATTTCCTTTGTTTATTTGTGCTTGTCTCTGTATGACATTTATGAATTACAATGTGTACTTTGCTTCGGTGAGGCAGTAGCATGCTCTTCCCACACTGCTGTAGCACTCAGAGCTGGGTTATTATCTTTGCATCCAGAGGACTGGTGTTTCTGAGGCTCCCCAGCGTTTCCATCAGGCAACAGAAATTGGCTCTCTCTACAGAGGTGGGATGCGATGGGAGACTTAGGAAGAGCAATTTCCTTAATGTGTGCAAATACAGCTTGCTATCTTCCTAGGAAGAGCTGCCAATATTTACCCACTGTCATTTTTACTGAATTTGGGGAGAAGAAATAAGATTGGAACAAATTTACAGCATATGATGATGTTTGCTGGTACGTTATTGCATCCTTGCCTTTGACCATGTGGCCCATCTGCAATTCCTTGCCCCCAAGCACCTAGAAATATTCCTTATTCAACTGTAAATCTCTCCAGGCAATGTCTGGAGGAGAGGCTAGGCAGGAAAAGGCTCCTTTAGGCTCAGTGGTGTGAAAGCCTTCGTTTTGAGATGTAGGAATGAGCTCCTCCTACCTTGCTGCTTGAGTGCACAGCATGGGACAGGAGGGTTTGCTTTTCTGGGCTGGGAAAGAGCCATGACCCAGGCTTTCACAGCGTCCACGGTGAAGTCATTGCTGTTAAAGCACTGTGGTCTCCTCCAGTGGTGGATGTCCCATCGGAGGGACAGGGCTGCACATGCCATGTAAACCCTGGGCGAGGAAGCCTGCGGTGGGGGTGGCTGCCTGTGCCGTGGGCTAACACAGCTCCTCTGCCATCCCTTCCGTGGCAGGGCTGCGAGGAGCCATGGCCTTCGCCTTGGCCATCCGCGACACGGCCACATATGCCCGGCAGATGATGTTCAGCACAACGCTCCTCATCGTCTTCTTTACGGTGTGGGTTTTCGGCGGGGGCACCACGGCCATGCTGTCCTGCCTGAATATCCGGTGAGTGCGGGGTGCCTGGGGCTCTCAGGGCACGGCACGTCCTCTCCCTTGCCTGCTCTTACATCCCTGGTGCTCGGCTTTAAGAGATGAAAGTAAGATCGCATCTTCCTCCCCTGGGCTGCAGCACGTACCCACCTGGCATTGCCTGTGCTAACCCACTGCTCGTTTTCTCCTCCACAGAGTCGGTGTGGATGCAGATCAGGAGAACGTGGTGAGTGTGGTGCCGCTGGGCAGCCTCTGTAGAGAAATTTGCACTGTGCTCATCGGTGCAGGGGTTACAGCGAGACCCTGTGAATGCCTGTGTGTGCTCCACTCCCTCCCAGCTGTAGGAGGGTTTGTAGCTTCTCTGGTGAAAGAGTTTGCAGTCAGTGGGAGTCATGGGCTTTTCTGTGCTCTCTGTGTTTTTAACAAGACTCGCTTTTATTCAGTTGGAAAGAAGGGCATAGAAGTAATGCTGGACTGCAATCCACAGTACTGCTGTGAGATTTGGTCTCTCCCTCGCTGGGTCTGAAATAAATACCAAAATGTGCATGACATAGAGGCTTCCTGCCTCATCCCAGCGTTCAGGGCAGTACAGAAACACCATTTACTGACTCCTTTTATGTAGCATCTTCTGTCCTGCTTTTACCCATGGGTACCCTCAACCTCTCTTTTGCCCCAATGTTTCTTGTGAGTAGTTACGTGGCAGCTCAGGAACCACTGACCATGCTGAGATAAATGCTGGAGCCCTGCAGCATCAGGATTTTTCCTGCCTGGTGTCCCCGAGCTGTCTCTTTGCATCTGTAGCCCCGTCATGCTTGTGGCTACGGCTCTACTCGATTTCAGTATGGGTTCTGCACCTTGGAGATTTGTTTTATTCAGACGCCTTTATTGGGGTGTTCACCTCCTGGACAAAAAGTGTCAAATGCTAAAGGCAGCCCAGAGCCATGAATCTGAAAGCCATGTTTCTGTGAAATATATAATTGTATTCATATTCCCCTCCAAACAGCTTTATACTTTTTCTCCTACTAAAAGGAAGCCAGCAATCCCCATAACACGTGATTATTTGCATACAAAAATCTCAGGCGAGATTTGACAGAATTTGGACCTGTCACTCACTATTAAATGTGATGTCTGGATGGAGTTGCTGGCTCCAAGGCACGTAAAACCTTGGGGCCAGAAACTGGAAGGCTTTAGCAGAAAAATGGTTGCTCTGTGCTTTGATACCACCTCTCTAAGGCTGTTGTATGCTGCTAGATGCGGAGCGCAGTGCTGGAAGCACCTTCAGCCTGTCGTGTGAACGTCCTTATACTTGCTGCAACCCGAAAGTTTCTTCTGGAGAGGCAGTGGGGAGGTGTCTTTTCCTACATCCCCCTGGACATCACCGGGTGCCCTGTGGGGGCTCCTGGCCCTGAGGAAGGTCTTGGCATGTTGCCCTGCTGCTGTTTAATGTTTTGCTCTCCTGCAGGGAGTCCCAGAGAGTGAGAGGAGGAGTACGAAGGCAGAAAGCGCCTGGCTCTTCCGCATGTGGTACAACTTCGATCACAAGTATCCTTGAACGGCGGTCGGCGTGTGCGGTGCCAGATCCCGTCTGCCCGAGCAACTCCGTTGACTCGGAGTGTGACTCACTCCCTGCTTAGCAAACGAACCAGTGTTTGCTTTCCTGTCTCACTGCTGATTTTTGATTTGCACCTCCTCGTGTCTGTGGCTGCAAGAAATGACCGTTTCCACCCGCCATTAACAGGGAATGCAGCAGTAGCTCGGTTCAGAGCTGGGCTCTCCAAGGCTGTAAGCCCGGGGGGGTCCTCGATCCCTGCAGCAGGTGGGCAGGAAGGGCAGGGGGTCTTCTCATTTGTAGCCCTCTTGGTAGATCTGTGCCTCTCCTCCCTTGCAAATGCTTTGCCATGAATTAGTGTGGGAGTGATCTGCCAGGCTGAGGCACAGGATAATGGGACAAGTGATGCTGCTGAGCCTTTTCTCACTGGGACTGTGTCCTGATCCACTCATGTCCCTCTGTGTTTGGTTGCATTAATTTTGCTCATCCCTATCATTTTTGTGCTTCCAGGGACTTGTGTCTCTTTCCTTCCTGTGATTTCCTTGAGACACTGAGTCCTTTGCCACTGCCTCTTCATCCCACCTGTTGACTTACCAGCATCGCCCTATTCCTCTTCCTTAACCCTCTCTGTAGCTATCTAAAGCCTCTGCTGACACACAGCGGTCCTCCACTGACAACCACACTCCCAGGGTGCTGTGGACCGATTGCCCGGTGCCTGACGAGTCCACAGGCATACGAAGTGAGTCCATCAGTACCCTTTCTGTCATGGTGTTGGTAGAGTTTGACATGTTTACATTTCTGTGGAGCTTTTGGATGCTGTTGTGCAGCATCAGGCTGGGAGCCTTGGGGGACATCAGATGCTGGGGCTGATGGAGGAGCTAATTTCCGTGAGCGTTCGGCTTATCCAGCTGACTGGTCGTGAAGGTATTCGTGGTGTATTGATGGTGGTTCCTCAGTGACTGGCTCAGTGAAGCTGTCACAGCTGTTCTTCCCCAGGCCTGGCTGGGAGGACACACAATTTCCCTATCTCCTGCTTTCTTCCAGCCTTCCAGCTGAGCCATCCTGCAGCCCCTGCAACTAAAAAGGTTGCCAACATCTGAACCGGGGCTGATGTCATCCTGAAACAGTAAAGAGCCCTTGTTTGAGCTGCCCAGAGGGGCAGGGAGAAAACGAACAGCTTTTCAGAGCCTGTAGGCAGTGACCTCTTCCACCATCACTGAAGAGGCTGCGTGCACCTGCGCTCTTTAGGTGCTGGGTTTGCTGGTCAGGTTGGGCCAGCCGTGGCTCCGCGGGTGGCTGGTGCTGGCACGGCTCTCTGGCAGGGCCGCAGCACTCGGGGCATTGCCGTGCCAGGAGCCCCTTGCAGTGGCAGCTCTCCGTGCTGGGAGTTTTCTTTCCCTGACCACAAAGTTACCAGCATCAAGTTCCCTGCACAAACCAGGGATGGCTCTGATGGGTCAGCAGGGTGTTTCCTGCGGTCGTGGATACTTTTGTCCAGTCAGAGCCACTCAAAACTGCATCCCCCATGTATCTGTTTATGGTATCAGAAAGAAGAGCCAACAGAGCCTTTTTAGGCACTTTGCAGAGAAGTTAGTGCGTTGTGGGAGTCTCCTGGGCTCAGCGATGTGTGTGTGGCACATCTGGTTATGGTCATGGTGCAGGAGAGTCTGAGATTCAGTGCCTTTATCTGCTTGTTCACCACCACCGTGCCACTGCAGACATGGCTATTCAGGAAGAGTTAAACAGCACCTTTCCTCCTGTTTGTTGCCCAGAATCAAGAGCAGCTGAAGGATGATGACTCCGACCTCATTTTGAACGACGGGGACATCAGCCTGACCTACGGGGATTCCACCGTCAACACTGACTCCGTGGCATCCAGCGGCACGTCGCGGCGGTTCGTGGGCAACAGCTCCGAAGACGCGCTCGATCGGGAGCTTGCTTTTGGGGACCATGAACTCGTAATCCGGGGAACGCGCCTGGTCCTTCCCATGGACGATTCGGAGCCACCATCAAATGTTCTGGATAACGCAAGACATGGTCCAGCATAAGGTTGCTCAGTTTAATTGACAGTAAATATTTGCATATATGATCAAGAAATATGTACTACCTAAAGTCTAATGCATGTCTCAAAATGTCTAAGCTGTATAAATATTATTTATATGGTGTCAGAAGAATATAAATATTCTCTGCCAAGCACTTGTAAAGAACAAGCTGCAAATTTAAGTTAAAAACTGTGTTGACTGCACTGTGTAGGGTGGAACTGTTTTAGCATAAGAGTCTTTTGCACACAGTGAGCTTCTTTAATGTGTGATTTGACGAAGGGTTTAGTCCCCAGCGGGGTAAGTAAAGGAGCTGACTCCCTGTTCATCCTTTGAGCCTGGGAGAGGAGGGTAGGAAGGTGCTGGCAAGCAGTGGAAATCGCTTTCTATTCAGATGAGGATTAGGTTGGTTTTTTTTTGGTCTCTGATCTTTGGATAGTCACGTTTGAAATATCAGTGAAAAATCTGCCCACAGACCCTCTCGCCAGGCAGTGGCGGGTGATAAACTTGTTCGCTTTGTGGGAACCTGAGCTGGGACCTGGAGTCTTTCTGCTTTTTAGTGACCCTCTGCCCAAGCCCAAGGCAGGCACCGGCCTAAGGTGATAGCAAGGACTGCGGGTGTCTGGCTGCTCAGTTGGGAGCAGGAGGGAGGGATGGTCTGTGTCTGTAGTTGTGTTTAGGAGAAGGAGGTGATCCCACAGAAACTACACCAGGCATGCACAGATTTTAGGGCTGAGTCCATCTTTCAGTTGTGGCTCAAGCAGCTTTCTAGAACCAGCCATCAAATCCTCAATTGGCAACTAAATTTCACGTTTGGGAAGTGACCGTGTCTTCATGCGAGCGAATCTCTTCTCTGGCAGTCACAGATGTAGCTAAGATGTGCAGAGCTACCGCAGCTGCACGCGGGGCCGTGGAGCCCGGCCGACCTCGAACACAAGCTTTACAGCTACAGATTGACACGGTACCTCCGGACGTCTCCAGAGGTACTGAGCATCTAGGTGGTACTGAAGGGGAGTTTTCCGTCCGTCCTCCTGTACAGTCAAAAATCATTGCACTTTGTTTAATAACTCAGCATGCTGTGTGTCTGTAATCCCCACCCCATCTCTCTCATGTCTCTTACCATTTAATGAAAAATATTTGCGAGTTGATTTTTTTTTTTTTTAAATCTTTATTTTTATTTTTCAAGGAAGAGCACAGAACAATTTGCGATTTCACACTAGTGTTAAAGGATTTACTCTGTAGTTATGGGAATAGCTAAAGGTGCAGTGAAATTGTTAACCCTGACATCCTTCTTTTTCTCCTGAAAAGGGGAAATCACAGAAATTTACTGTATGTAATTTTATTGTCTATTTTAGATGCAGTTTTGCTATACAAACCTTTCAGGGTTACCGGTGCACTACAGGCTCATTCTGGAGTTAACCCTCTCCAGGGGGCTTAAACAGAGGTGTATAAAAAGAGACTATATGAAAAAGAGCAAGGTGAGTCTGAGCACTCACAGCTCCCATTTCCTTGGAACAAACTGCAACTCTCAGGATCAGACCCTGAGACCTCAGAGCAGTTTTCCCACAGCTGTTTTCCCCAGCACCACCTGAGAGTTGGGAGGAGACAGGAAATACTGAGATTTTGAGTGTATATGTATAGTTGGGAAAATAAATTAATTTTTTTTTTCATTTTCTCAGGTCTAAGTAACATTGCCTTAAATTTACGGTTGTGAAACTAATTATTTTGGCAGTTTATCCCTAAGAAAATGCTTTCTTTTTCCTTCTGAACAAAATGTGTAAGTGTTGCCATAGGGCTCCTCTAGAAGGGGGGTAACTCTGTTTATATTTAGATAGGGCATCTTCCTTGCACCGGTAAATGGCAGTCTCGCTGTTAACATAGCTGTTGGATTAGTGCTAGCCTCTTTGTTTCCTGCTATGCAGGAATTCCATAAAGTGTGCATTTTATATGATGTCTGTAACTTAACTTCATGTGTTTAAAAAAAAAAAAAAAGAAAAGTTAAAAAAAAAAAAAAAAAACGCGTCACTTCTACATCCCGTTTTTTGTTTGTTTTGCCTTTCTGAAGAGGTATGATAAATAACTACCTTTTGTTTTTTCCTGTATAATCTGACTATGAATTCAATTTACAAAGCTGGCGTTGGTGCAGCCGGAGGTGCAGAACAGTTCTGCTCCCCGTGCAAGCCCGTGGTCCCATGGGCAGGCCCCGAGCACCCACGCAGCGTGAGGGCAGCGCAGCGCTCCCTCCCAGGCAGTCCCCAGCTGAGGTGCACATTTGCAGCCGTGGGCTGCGAGATGGCCACAGCATAACGTTTTGCCCTCGCCCTGGTCACATTCCTCTCTTTCTCTGACCCTTTGACTCCAGTAATGTATGCACTCTCTTGAAGCTTGCCAACAGATTACCATAAGCTTCAGCTTTTGACACCAGTGACAGTTCAGTTAGTACATTAAAAAAGAGAAGTTAACGGATTATGATTTTATGGGTTACCTGTGAACTCTTATGATCCATACATAATATAACCAGGACTGTTTTAAATAGTCTTGGTAAATGAATGAATCTAAGCTGAAATTCAGGAGTGATTTAATAAATGACTCAGATATAATCCTCAGCTGATTATTTTCTTTGTCCTGCTGCAACAGAGAATACACGAGTGCCTGGTTTCCAGATGCAGAGCCCTGATGGCTTGCAGGCTGCAGATGAAGGTAAGGGTACCTTAGGGTACCCTGGAGAATCAGGCCCCGAGACCTTTTGCCAAATAGATAAGACAGCCCCGACGGGGGCAGTTTACAGCTCCCATGAAGATTTAGAGAAGGTGCCCTTCTGTAAATTGAATTTTCATGGTTTTTGCACATGAAAAAGCATTGTAGGTAAAGTTATGATTTGTACTAGTACTGTCGATTTGTGTGGTAATGGCATTAACTCCGTAGTTGTGGTGTTTGTGCAGCTGATCTGTGATAGCTGATGATCACTATTGGACCTTCTGTTTACACTGACTAAATCCTTTACTGTTGCATTGTACTGTGAAAGAAGGATTATGGGCCTATAAAAGATTTTTTTTTTTTTTCTGGAATTGTGTGTACCGTTTCATTAATTCACACGGAAATAAATCTGTAGCAAAGTGACAAAGTGCCGCTTGACCTTCTCAGACCAGTTTGTTCGTGGCCTTTGGCCAGCGGGTAAGGCGGCAGCCACGGCTGCAGAGGCTGAACCCCGCGGACTGGAGGGCAGCCGGGATGGGGTGCAGGCTCCTGCCTTCACCCCAGCTCCTGAGACTCAGCCCAGCCCTGGGGCCGTTCTCTCTTGCAGGAACAGGCGCTGGGGAGCAGGGAGACGCTGATGTCTGCTAAAAGCTGCTGCAGCTCCTGGGCTCCTTCACAGTGAAACCCAGGTGGGGTAGTGCTGCTCACTGACACACATCCCGGGGCGGTGGGTGGGTGAGAGGCATTGCCACGGGGCCTTTGCAAGATCGAGGCTCCTGAGCTTTCCTGGGCTTTTATGTCTCGTGGTTTTGTTGAATTTGCAGCTGGGCTCATGGCAGCTGCCCTGCTGTCCTCCGGAGGCGGTTCTGCCCTCCGTCTCCAGTCTGTGCCCTTGTTTTGGTGCTATGGGCTGTCAGAGCAGCTGAAGAGGTTTGTTGTTCAAATGCTTTACAATCCTTCAATATAGAGGGCATCTCAGAAACTTCAGGAATTTGGTTTTGAGAGTTCTGATTCACAAAGGACGACCTTCGTCTTTGAAACTGTATAAAAATACATCCTTTATAGCGCTGTATCGCTGCAGGAGGATAGCCCCTGAAACCTACTTAAACACACTCGTCTGCCATCCGTGGCAGCCGACAGTCAAGGGGACGTCTGTTCTGCTTTCTGAGTGGGGAGCTGAGGCCTGAGCTCTCGGGCTGGGCTTTGCCAAAGCTTTGTAGCTCACCAAAGTACCCTGAGTCTGCATGTGAGAAGGGCATGTCCAGTGTCACACTGGTCATGGGTGGCCTGTGCTACTCAGTTACAGGAGCAGGACAGGAGACAACGGTGTTTATTTTCTTACTATGAAGTGATGCTAACTCCACGGTGCAACTCTCACACCTCAAAATCCGGACAATCAGAATAAACACCGCTAATCCTGCTGTACACATGCTGTCCAGCCCAGGCTTGGGTTGTACTCGGGCACTAACTAAAACAAACATGAAGTTTAGCAATTGAACAAATGCCTTTGGGCAGCTCTTTACCCTCGCAAACCCTCAAAAGCAGTGCAGCCACACCCCTTACAAATGGATTGCTTTGTTGAAATAGGGTATGATTGAGGCCCCTGGGCAGGCTCACCCTTGGTGAGGGCTATCTCCAGTGCCCAAAATGTGTCTGGGACCAGGTGTCGTGCACCCACCTTCCCCAACGCACGTGGCTGCAGGCAGGCATCCTTTGGGACAGGCTTGCTGTGCCATGAATTGCCATATGGTTTTATCCCTGCAAAAAAATTGTGGATAGGTGCTGTTCAGAGGCGCTGGGAGAAGGGGTGATGGCAGATCCCTGCAGAGTCTTGGCAGGGAGACTTGCACTGGTGTGTGGAGCCGCCACTTGCTGAATAGTCTTGATTTTATTAGTTCAGTTCAATTTGAGCTGTTTAGGGACAGCTTTCAGTCAAGCTACCGTACCACCTGGCTGTGTTCACATTGGGCTCATCGCTGGGAAGTGAGCCAACAGCCTCAAAAAATCACGGGGCGCTTTTTAGAGCAATCTTGTATTCTCATGCCCAAGGCACGGACAGTCCTGTACACTTGGCTCTCCATCTCCATGTCATGCTGGGGAAGCCTTTATGTGAGGAAAAATTTAAAAAAAAAAAAAAAAAGAGCAAGCTTTTGAGTCTTCCTTATCTCATTGTGGCCTGAAAGGATCTCTTGTCCTTGCTGGGTCCTCTAGATGGCAATATTGGAAAGGACAGTAGTTGTCCATCACTACAGGTCCAGGCAGTGAAGGGGCTGCCAGCCCACCCCTGCTCCAGAGACCCTCTCCATCCCCTGCCCCGTTCACCATCCCGCTGGAGTCTTTATCCGCAGAAAGGAGAAGCCACCCCACTGTCACACCGACTGCTCTCACACCCTGAACTCCTTTATAGAAGCCACCACCTTCTCAAAGGAAGTGTTTGGCTTAGCCACGGCCTCCTTGCTGCCTTTGCACTGAAGAAAGGGAGGAATTTGCTCACACATCCTAGATCTGGCTGTCTCAGCGGGCTGCCTGTGGGTAGGTATCAGCACCCAGGAGTCTGGAGGCAGTTGAGGTGACCTTGTGCTCAAAGACTGTACATCTACCCTGCCTCTTGTTTTCCTTTTTAAAGCCAGCTGCTCATTGACTTCCCACACCTTGCCCTGTTAGGCTTTTAGAATCAGGACTTTAATGCTGATGATCACAAGCTGTTTGTGGGATGGGTTTTGGCCCCTCAGAGATCAGATGCAGCCCTTGATGGAGCTGCTGGCAAGTATCAGAGGTGGTTCAAACCCCACAAACAATATCGAGACTGCAAAGGCACCTTCCTCTGCAGAGCTTCTCCCTCCAGACTCCCCGGCTCTCACAGGTAGGATATCACCTGGGCTTTGAACACTTCCTAGCACTAGCAGTTGCTGTCATCTGCAGCCAATTTGTGGTCACGATGGGTATTTGCGTTGTTGCAAGAGGACTTTTTTCTCTGCTTGGCTCCTACTTGTCACAGCCCCAAAACAGTGTCTGTCACCAGATGTGGGGAAGTATTCTGGAGGAAATAGCTTGGCAAGATAAGGGGGGAGGTTGGCGTGGAAGTACCTCTTGGATGCTAGTGGGCCCAAATATATTCTTTTATAATACTAGATCGCAAAAAATCTTTTGGCCACATGTGTCTGTGATTGGAGAATAATTGGAAGATGGAGCAAGTGGAGGGGAAATGAAGAGATGGTGTCCTCACTGACAATTGTAACAAAATCTGCCAAGCCGATGAGAGAACCCAGAGGCCATGGGAGTATTTGTGTACTCTCTGTGTCCAGCACAAGCGTAGCAACGCTGCCCAGTGCAAACACTGCGTGTGCCTGCTGCTTTCCATCTCCTCTGCTCTCTGTTGAGCTGAGAGCGATCTGGGTGTCACTTAATATTAAGGAACTTACAACTCACCTGGTGCCTTCAGCCATGTTACCATCAGAAGCTGCTTTGCACCTTGCTGACAAGAGCAGCACTGGGGACAGTCTGCCTCCCAGTACCCTGGCGTGGCTAAAAGGAGAGCAGCACAGCAATGCAGTGGGTCTGATGTCCCTGAAGTCTCCTGGCCCTTGGACAAGTCTGGTAAGAAGCAAAGCAAAGTCTTGGTGGGTTGGCCCCTGCGGAGGTGAGATGTCAGGGGTGAGGCTGTGACTGGAGAGCCCAAAGCTGGGGAAAATAAAATTCTAGCCTGTCACCACTTGGTGTTGTAGGATGGTACCAAAGGTGTGCAAAGGTCTGCTCTCAGGACAGAGTTTGGGAACCAGGGATTCTGGAGCATGTTACTTCAGGCCATGCAGCCCTCACACAGCCCATCTTGGTGCTTTCCCTTACTCCAGCCCTTACAGTCCCTGCTGGGCACTTAGAGCCCAGGTCATAGGCTACAAAATCCCTTAACAACTGCAGGAAACTCTCTAAGGTTCAGGACTTGGGGGTAGCAGAGCCTTGAATTTGTTGTCCAATATTTAGACATGCGTATATACAAAAGGATTTGGTCTTTATTAATTGTCCTTTCATAGGAAATTCCACCAGCTGTCCTCCTCCGAGGGGTGCCAGCGATGCTCCAGCCCCAAGGAGCCCATATATGGTTGCAATCTCCTAACCCCGTGTGTTTCGCAGCATAGTGTGGTCATAGCTACTTTTAAGGATATGTGCGAACATTGCTCCCTTTCCTGTATGCATAAGCTCCCAGGAATGTGGACAAAGATAAAAAGGGCATAAATTAAAGCTGTCAGCTTTATGCAGCATGTTAGCTCTTCTACCTGCAACAGCAAGATTAGTTA